GTTTCCAGAGGCAGTGCTGGTGCTGTCCTGCAGTAGGTCGAAGCTTCGACATTGCCGGTGGGACATCAACAGTCTCTTTACGATTCGTTTCGATGGTAAATTGGGAAGTCAAACCCGCCATCAGCTTCCTTATCAGCAACCCTCAGAAGAGGGAGCCATCGACGATTTTGCCAGCGGATGGCTACTTTTGACACTTGCTACCACTTCTGAATGTTTTCGCCTCTCACTGTGAGTGAAATATAGAGGGGGTTTTGGTATACGCCTTACTGTAGTCTCGAAACAAGATCAAGGTTGGACTATTAACACATTCCAATTTTTCTTTGCAAAGACACCGTAGCAAGAACAGTAAATATAAACGTTAATCAACACATGGTTATGCATTTTTGCGGCAAGCTGCTTTGAGCTCACAACTTGTAAATGCTTTCAAATCTGGGGCTGGTTTAACTTTTGTGGCTTACTTCCTCCTCTAGTAATAATCTCAACTTGTATTTGAGCATAAGTTCACAGAATATGGCACAGAAAAGTTAAAAATTTAATTTTGGTACATTTCCTCTGTCTTCATTATCCAGGAAATTTCGAGCTTGCCAGAAACTTCAAAATTACCCTACGAATGCCATCTCAGCAGTATGACTGCTAACAAAATGCGAGTTAAATGATTTCTAAAGCCAGATTTTGAACCGTGCAGCTATCTGATCTGTGACCTGACATTCGAAAACACGGATTGAGGTTGTAATTCTAAAAGAAAAAACAATGAAATTTTGAAACGGAAGTTACAGGCCGGAAAACAGTGGACTTTCGGGGATACAACATTAATAGGATACACAGAGTACTATTAAAATTTAGCTACCGTAATCAAGCCCTTTTGAGCATGTTTTTTGATGCGGACTACCAAGGTATTAGGAATCTATGTTATACGTTAATACAGTTATCACTCGTTACTAAGCAGATTAGCCTACAAACGCGCAACCGACCTGAGCTTCACTGATAGTGTTTGACTATTTCCAGCTGCTATGGCGTTATCCGGTGAGCCTCCCTCGAAGAAGACCAAAACTGAAGCCTTCCTCTTGCACGTTAGTTTACTTTCTATTCTTACAGAATCTAATAATTTGTCTGTCCTACATCTTTCTCTTCTTTTCTAAATTCCCTAACATTTCTCCAATTACATAGCGAAAAAGGGCACAGTACTGACGATTTCCACCTCATTTCGCACCGTTTTAGTCGTCCGTGTTTAAAGTTCAGGGAAAAAACACAGACGTCACTCAATGCAAATACCGGCTAGTCTAAATGAGATTGTAAAATCTTGCCTCTTCGCAGAATATCAAATAAACATAGTCGACTATTCCATTCCCCTTTTCTCATGTCACTGCACCTTGTCAGCAGCAATGCTGCACTTTCCGGTGCTTTAAAGGCTGACTTTTGGTCAGTCATATCGAGTACGCAATTAGCTACAAACACAAACTAATTTACAGCCTAATAACTGATATTTCCCAGAACTGCAACATTGCAAATTACACCTAGAAAGAGAAGAAGAAGGGGGACAGCGTAACTAACTGAGAAGCGAACACGGTCTGTCCGACCGAAGTAATATCGCTCATTATCTCATTTTACATGTAAGACTAGCATGAAACAAGGCAATTTGCTTTCGGCTTTCCGCAAATTAATTTGAAAATTTGGTTTTCGCCTCAAACGAAGATGTTGCGTTATACACAGCATAAAGAGGCAGATGAAAGTGAATGTGGTGCAAAATACCAGTACATCCAACACCAATACACAATTAAACGAAGTGGACTTAAAGGAAGCTGAACAGTTAAAATAAGAAAGCGAGTCTGTGTTGCAGTTTGCGGCACAAACTCTCATTTGAAAAAGCTAGCAGGCGGCGCAAATTCTAAAACACTGCAAATTTCTTAAGGTACTGAACCCTACAATTCCGTATCCACCTTCCAGTAAACGCAACGATGAATAAATCAGAAACACGGCCATTTACAAAACTCGAAGGACAAATGTTAGGCTATAACAGGAAGAAGTGAAGACGAGAGTGCGTATGGTACCACATTATGGCCAAAAGAAATCAAAAAGTTCACTAGTTAAGTAGCGCGGGAAAAAATTGCCGAGGGGAGGGGGTGCAAGAAACAATAAAATCCAGAGGCCAGGGCTTTTCATTTGTTTTCTCCAATTGATGGACGGTCACGCCATTTCTGCTTGCCTTACCCTTGATCATATAGTTCAGATCGTCCCTGCTATCTCCAGCATGTGCACGCATCTCCTCTTTGGAGGATCACTTAAGTAATCATTTTTCTAGTGGGGTACTAGTGACTGGTACAGAATGTCAGGAATAGCAAGTGCACTTCATGGAATGTTAAGGGACTTAGTCAGTAAAGCAATGCTGGTGATGAAATCCAGACATAATTACACAATAAGCCCAGTTCGCCAAATTATGAAAAAACAGAAATGTATCGCACCAAGTACGCTGATAAAATCATCGCACAAAAAATCGCAGAAAAGAAAACATTACCTTGCGGAGAAGTTTTCTGCGTCGTCTTCGCTCCCAAAACGAAAGTTTAGCCTGCGTCTGAGTTGACGTAACGCAGTTCACTGTAAATGGTCGAGAATAATTGCGATTGTGTGCGTTTTCTCTAGGAAGCAGCGGTTCTCTTTCCATGTGTTTCACTGCAACAGCTTCGAGCTTATGACTGGAGAATTTTTTCCCCGAGCTAATAAAAACCAGATTCTTTTTGCCAAATTACCATCACGGATACCTACACATCAAAATATACAGTGCATACCACTCTGAAACTTTCCACGCATTCCAGCGATACCTCTCTCAGACCTGTTGCTGATAAACATGTATTTTCGTTACATTACTTCGCTTCTCTCGCCCGCCCCAAAAACCCCAAATTTTTTGTTTATTTCCTAGGTAAAATAAATGACTACTTAATATGCAAAAGTAATTGCAAGATAATAGACTCAGTTCGCTCACGACAATCAGTAATTGCCTGATTTTTGCGCAAAAAGGTAAACTGCAGCAAAAGTCACAACAAATGCAAATATGTGTTGTTGAAAAAACTGCTCAAAGCTATTGATAAGAATGGTTGCTTTATCAACCCCCCCCCCCTCAGTTTTACTTGCTTTTCAAGTCACTGGTCCCTTGGGTCTTGTGACACAACGTATAAATTCGGGGATGTGGGCGAAAGTCTTTCACAAATTGGGAGGGTAGACATTCAAGTGAAAACTCCGTAAACGATCTTGCCGTAAGCTGAAAAAACAGCCCAGTCAACAAGCAGCATAAAGCACAAGGGCCGGCATAACTGTCTTTCTAGCCTTTCGGGTGCAAAAGTCAATATTCTGATGGCACTGACGTTATCTTATCTGCACTGAACATGTCCGAGCACCAACACAACTTTTCCTCCTCCTGCTTTTACTAGCAACTGCTTATCTTTTTGAGTTAACCGGCCACTAAACCAAGTGCTGCGGAGCCCCTCCGGGATGATTTGCTTGTTATCAACTTGTTATAAGCTTTTGAGACTATTTTATTCATGCAAACATTAAGTAAAAAGAAGTGAGCGTCGACCTTAACCACAGCATGAAACAACTCGACGGAAGAAACAAGAGGAAATTGATTAGAACAAGGTACATCCCAACACCAACAAAAGCACTCTGCACAAAAAAACCAAGCGGACCAGAATGAGACGCCGGAAAGAGGGAAATGAAGACATTCCGCATTTTCTTCCGTCAATTACTTTTGTTTCAAGGATATTCGGTGGATCTAAAAATATTTTTCATTGTGAGAAATTAATTTAAAAGATGTTGTGGAAAAGACAAAAGGCACTTGGCATACGCACGGTAAAATTATCAATTTAGCGGCAGCAACAGCAGCACCTCAACTTCAAAGCATCGAAACTAAAAACACTACCAAGAGCAAAATAAAAGCCCCTAACATAATCAATAATGATAATAATAAAAACAGCAGTAGCGCAGAAGTCGAAATGCTGTTAGTGTTTAGTAAAGAAAGCACAAATTCAGTGAATCAAAATGCACATTTTACAGTCACAAACTCACTGTACAGCACGCTGCCGAAGTACAGATGTAGGCGCGAACTTTTACACTTACATTTTAATGTTTGAAGTTACGAAAAATGCTAAAACCCTAGTCGATAAGGATGAAACCACGTGGAGTCTAAAAGCGATAACACTCAAGATAAGGCAATGCTGATCAACACATACACATACAACAATGACTTCTCGAAAGCTAAAGCCTTGCCAAGTACACCTTTTGGAGGGATGAGCTGGTAACTCCTTCAGAAGACGAAACTAATGTCAGGCTAGTCAACAGGCTGACCACCAGGCGATCAACATTGGTCAAGACAACAGGAAATGTTGCAAGCTGCATAACTGAAGGACCAGGTCATGAACTGCAGCTGGACCAAAACCCAGTGGAATGGGCGGTTGAGAAAAAGCAACTGCCAGGTGTCATCTAGCTTTCTGAATCCTAAAGAATCAAAGAAGAAAAGCAAAGAAAACTTAAAAGATATGTAAGGCATAAGTTAATGCCTGAACCGTATCATTCAGTTCTGCACTTCTTACGATAATAACGGTATCGCCCTGCACAGAAGCAAATACTACAGTGGGCTACACTGTTCACTACATTTCGATATCATAAACATTCGGCCAACTGCCGAAGTCGGAGTCAAAAGTCAAAACTTCCTTCTTAGAGAGACGAAGGAAACTCGAAATAGTACCAGTTACAGCAGGTGCCAACAGCGATGGTCCTCTCTTCTGAGGATTAGCTACAAATAAGCTGATTGCGGATCCGACCCCCAAACAAGCGCCAGTACTAGCCTGCGATTGAAACGAATGAACAAATCGTAGACAGATTAGCTGTCTCCCAACAGAGTCGAAACCGCGACCTGCAGTGTGAGAGCAGCCCTACTTCCTACTGCGACAGTGTTTCATTAGAGTAATGGAAAATGCTACCACTAAGCAATACTGCATGAGCTGCCTCGATTACAATTCAGTCTTTCGTAGCAAAGAATAACGATTTTCGGAAGGTTTCAATTCTTTAAACACAGAAGAAGGGGGCGCAGCTTGAGGAACAGCAGCCGGTGGTTTTGCATCATCTTCGGCAAATATTTCTGGCCTTTCCAGTGCTAATTTTTGCAAATCCATCACTTTCTGGTCCAGATTTTCATGAAAATCTTTGTGTAATTTCCCCGAATGCAAGTCCAGTACAAACTAAAACAGAAAACTTCATCTGACCAAAACTGATGCAAAGCAACAAAAATAATAGCACACGCACATACAGACGTACATATGAGTGCGCTCATACGCGTACATATACACATACACACAGACACACATAAGTACACACTGTCATGTGAAATAATTAGCCAGTGGTGCGAAGATGCGTTTTTTGCATAGTCACCTGCAGGTTTCTGTCGCTAACGGCACCGGTTTTCCTTGCAGATGCTTCTAGCTAAACGAATTGAGACTGGCTGCCAGGGCTGCCAGGAAATGCCCCCTTAAAATTTCAGCTCCCTAACTTTCCTGGTTCCCAAGTTAGCAACGTAACTTCCAAAAATTTTCAATGGTCCGTAAGTGAGAACCACGTACATCTTGGAGCTATGTTTAGACTCAATAAGACCTAAGTGGACGGGAAACATCGCCTTAAAATTCCAGTCTTCTAGTTTTTCAGTTTTCCGAGTTAGCCACTTACTCGCAAAAAACCTTTACGGACCCGTGTATGAATACCACGCACAACTGAGGGTTGGATTTGAACTCATTAAGACTAGGTGGGTAGGGAACACTCCCTTAAAATTTTAGCTTTCTGGCTTTTCAAGTTCCTGAGTTAGCAGTTTACCCACCAAAAACTTCGACGGGTCCGTACGCGGGAATCACTTGGGTGGAAGAGCCCATTTTGGGGATGGGGGCCCGTACGTGCATGCAAATTAAGTCCCCAAAATTTCAGTCTCATTGCTTTTGTAGCTCCTGAGATGAAAAACCGGTACAGACGAACACACACATAAAAATCCTTGACAATATGTGTTTTTGCATTACACAGATGCAAAAAAATGCATAAAAATGAAATTCCAGCTTTTAAAGAAATTGCATATTTAAAATGTGGACCTGCCGAAGCTTTCCGGGGACGTGTAGCTCCTCCATATTGTCAAATAAAAACATATGCTGAAACGAATCAATTGCCAGAACCGGTAAGTCCTGTGCTGTTTTCCCTAGATGTTTCAGTGGATGAGCGAATTTATGTCCATCTGCCAACAAAGCATTAACCGCACTTTTCTGGTCGTATAGTTCGCGCATTACCTGCAAATACTTGCCAAATGCCATCCCTCACCAAACTCAACACCCCCTCAAATTCCATTCTTAAAAAAACATGTTCAGTCAGACGTTGCAAGCTTGAGAGAGAGCACTTCTCCTAACACAATATATTCACTGAGCAGGTCTGTCAATGGCTCCCTCGTTAAACAAACTGTGAGAAAAAGACAGTTTATAGCCTTATCACACGAATCCACTACCGATTGTCAAAATGTAAACCTAGGTTGGCTGGTGGACCAGCTACGTCAAACAGAAAAACGAAGTCAAGACAAGTCGCATCTTTCCTCTTTTCCGTGTGGCACGACAATCGCCGTTAAGACAAACATCCGTGAATTTTTCTGAATTACACTTGTTTGAAAGCTAATCTATTTAAGTGGCTACTTCCACTCGACAGAAATAGGTGTTTTAAATAAGTTTAAGTTTTTTTCTGATTATGATGAGGGAATAAAACATGAGAAGACTGCGACCAACTCGTACAGATTATCCATATCCGAAATTACTGAGCTAAAATTTCGTTTAACACGATAAGAAATCCTCACTAATTCTGTGAACTTTTTGTCGCCTTCTTTGTCTTTTGGATTCCTGAAAAAGAGCAGGAACGGCAAGCCCTCTTCTGTAAGCTCTTCAACATTTTCAAACGTTACTTCGCGAACAAGCGGTATACATTTGTCAGTGAGCCACTGCTTCAGGTAGTCATAGTCCGAAAATCTGCCTGTGAACTGCAAAAACTTGTGAATGTGCTTTTTTTACGGATTTTCACCCACACTTAAAACAAGCAATAAACAACGGCTCGCACCAGGATAACCAAGAAAATAATGCGTTTTGTGCGGTTCTGTCCAGCTGAAGTTTG